AAATGACAGAGGATTTCACCGGAGTTTATGACTCCGGTGACTAGTCGAAGTAGTAGACTCCGGCCGCATCTCAGTCACAGCAAGCTGTATCGCTTGATACAATTCAATATTCCATAATTGAGTACGTCTATCAAAATTTCTCTACTTTTTGTGTACATGAATAGAACTTGCCTTTCACCTGTTACAAACATACATCACAGGATGACCTAAAATGTAGCTTTCGCCAGAAATTTTCTTTATTATGAAATTAGAGGTCACACCAGAACCTTGTTTCCAATAGCTCTTCGCCTAGAAAACCAGTAACCATTAACTATTATTGCCCAGGAAGAAAATGAAAATGTTCTGCCTTCCAGATACTCTTCACAAACAATTGTTTTGTAGAAGCACTACCCATCAAGTTGGAGTTCTCCATATCTTCAAAAACTCTCAATGCTAAAACGGCTGTATCGCACTTGCAGTATGCACGAATAAGAACCTTAAACATATAAGCCAGTCTGCCTAACCATCCCAAAGAGTCTCTGAACCATTTTAATATCTCCATGAATTACCAATAGCCAGTGGCCTAGCAGTTTCAGCCCCTACTTTTCAGAGGGTTGTAAGGGGTTTGAATCTTGGTGGAGGTATGTGTGTGTGAGTATCAATTAGGAAAAAAAAAAAAACAAAACTCCATGAATTGCAAAGTGATGCATCAATCCCGAAAATGTTTTGATATCAGGTTGAATCCCACACAAAATCATCTCGTCAAGTACATCCAGGGCCTCAGAATTCATGTTACACTTGGCTAGTGTTTCCAAGAGAAATGAATGTAAAAGAAACAGACTATTTTTGGATATGGGACCACACCACAAAGTGATTTGACATCACGTAAGACTTTTAGAGCGGCGTCACCATTGCTGTAAAGACCACAGAAGTCAATAATCAATCAGATTGTGCTGCACGCAATCTAATCCCCTCCTTTTTAATCTTGGACATTAGTTCATCAACTAGATCAACACGCTCATGAGTGAAACCATAGAAAAGCCTACATTTTTAATTAATCGTTTCACCTGGTAACATTTCTTTGATAACTTCGTCTGTCTCCTCAACAAAGCTGCCTCCTGCATGTGTTGCATTGCTGATCACATAGCTCAACCGAGTAATATTTCATCAATCCACATTTCATTAAGTAAAGTCTTAACCGTGTCAAACTGCTCAAAAGTGAAAACTGTCTTAGAGTGCGCTTGATCCTCATCAAGGGCAGTGTACCAAAAATCTCCAATGCTGAATCCAATTTTCCCAAATTCACAAGGTGCTCAACATAATTGTATGTTCTAGAATTAGGAAGCGCCCCTTCATCAATCATCATATAAAAAATATTTACACCGGAAGAAAAAAATTTCCCATTTATGCATAGACCATCATGACAATGTTATAAGACTTGGTACATGGACGCCTCTGCAAGGCTCTCCATTCATCCCAGACCAGAAGAACCGCGTTAAGGTCTCCATCAGTATCATACCAGCGCTTCCAGTCCATAAAACTAATGCGTGCAACATTTGTGAACTTGCCAGAATTGATACCGTTAGTTAGGGCTTTGAGTTTGGCAGTTTGTTTGGACTTGTCTAGGATTTTGGGCAGAGTGTAAAGGGTATTTTGATTATGCGAGAAATATGGAACATTTTCAGGGTATCAATGAGAGAGAGAGCAGACTCATGGGAGGGAGCAGATCGGAGTGCATTGGTGACTACAGAGGAGTTTAGAATGAGATCATTTTAAAGAGGGAGTAAGCTTTAAGGGTTGGACCATATACCAAGTCGAATTGAATCTACGAGTCTTGCTTGCTGAAGGTAAAGGGAGACTTTATCGAGTTTGCAGGGCTAGGCAGTTATATAAGTTTCTTGTATGAAAGAATCCTCGGAGGCATATAGGCACCTCCGCGCCTCCGAGGATTTGGGTTGGGTTGAAAATGGACTGGTCAAATATGAATCAAGACCTATATTCAATTCGTTCAGAACGGGTTGAAAATGGAGGGGTCAAAAATGTATAGGGTCAACCCGTTATGACCCGTGGATCCATTAATTATTATTTTATTTTATTTTTTTAAAATTATATTTAAAAAATGTATAGGGTCAACCCGTTAAGACCCATATTGATGTTTAAAAAGTAAATTTTTCTTAAAATTTTTGATGTTTACAAACATGAAAAAAGAAAATGTAATTTGCATATTCATAAAAAAAAATAAAAAAAATGAACCGTGAAATCCGTTCGACCCACCCAAAATATTGATGTTTAAAAAATAAAATTTTCTTAAAATTTTTGATGTTTACAAACATGGAATAGGAAAATGTAATTTGTATATTTATAAAAAAAAAATGACCCGTGAAATCCGTTCGACCCACCCAAAATATTGATGTTTAAAAAATAAAATTTTCTTAAAATTTTTGATGTTTACAAACATGGAATAGAAAAATGTAATTTGTATATTTATAAAAAAAAAATTGACCCGTGAAACCCAATTGACCCGCTCAAAATTTTGATATTTAAAAAGTAAAATTTTCTAAAAAATTTTGATGTTTACAAATATGGAAAAAGAAAATGTAATTTGTATATTTGAAAAAAAAAAAAAAAATTGACCTGTGAAACCCGACCGACCCACCCAAAATTGTGAGGTTTAAAAAATAAAATTTCTTAAAAAATTTGATGTTTACAAACATGGAAAAGGAAAACGTAATTTTAAAAATAAAATTTTCTTAAAAATTTTGATATTTACCAACATGGAAAAAGAAAACGTAATTTGTATATTTGAAAAGAAAAAAAAAATTGACCCGTAAAACCCAACCGACTCGTCCAAAATTTTGATTGTTTAAAAAATAAAATTTTCTTAAAAAATTTGATGTTTACAAATATGGAAAAGGAAAACGTAATTTGTATATTTGTAAAAATAAAAAAAAAAAAAAAAAATAGACCCGAGAAACCCGATCGACTCACCCAAAATATTGATGTTTAAAAAATAAAATTTTCTAAAAAATTTTGATGTTTACAAATATGGAAAAACAAAATGTAATTTGTATATTTGAAAAAAAAAAAAAAAAAAAATTGACCCGTGAAACCTGACCAACTCGCCCAAAATTTTGATGATTAAAAAATAAAATTTTCTTAAAAAATTTGATGTTTACAAATATGGAAAAGGAAAACGTAATTTGTATATTTGTAAAAAAAAAAAAAAAAGGACCCGTGAAACCCGCCCAAAACATTGATGTTTAAAAATAAATTTTTCTTAAAAATTTTGATGTTCATAAACATGGAAAAAGAAAATGTAATTTGCATATTTGAAAAAAAAAAAAAAAATTTGACCAGTGAAACCTGACCGACCCGCCCAAAATTTTGATTTTTAAAAAAATGAAATTTTGATGTTTACAAACATGGAAAAAGAAAATAAAATTTGCATATTTAAAAAAAATAAAATAAAATAAAATTTGACCCGTGAAACCCGACCGACCCGTCCAAATTTTTTATGTTTAAAAAATAAATTTTTTAAAAAAATTTGATATTTACAAACATGGAAAAGGAAAACGTATTTGATATTTAAAAAATTGGCTCATGAAACGTATTGATGTTTAAAGATAAATTTTCTTAAAAATTTTGATGTTTACAAACATGGAAAAAGAAAATGTAATTTGCATATTTGAAAATATATATATATATATATATATATATATATATATATATATATATATATTTTATCCGTGAAATCCGATCGACTTGCCCAAAAATTTGATGTGTAAAAATAAAATTTTATTAAAAAATTTGATGTTTACAAACATGGAAAAGGAAAATGTAATTTGTATATTTGTTAAAAAAAAAAAGAAGACCGGTGAAACCCGCACGACCCACCCAAAATATGGGTTCGGCCAGCCCAACTTGTAGCTCTTTGTGAGAGAGAGAAATGAGTTGAGTGTAATATATAATAGATGTGTGTTGTATGTCTATAATGTGATGGGTGAAATATGGGTTGAATATGGGTAACCATATCCAACCCATTTTAACTCTCAAATTATGTGGTTAAAAATTACCCAACCCATTTTTGACCCATTTTAAATATAGTCACCCATAACTATTAAAAAGTGAGTGAATATGGACTGGTTGATGGTTTCTGACCCATTTTGCCACCCCTAGACACCTTTGTAGACCATATGGCTTATATAATAGTTATATAAGGTTTTTTTAAAAAAAAAAAAAAATTTCAGTGGGGACAATATTAAAATTTCATAGGTATATAATTCAAAAAAAAAAAAAAAAAAAAAAGGAAAAATCACTAGTATATAATACTAAAAAAAATAATTCGGTGGGGGAAGTGAAATAAACTTGCTCGTTTACTGAAGCTCACTAAAGGTGATCGACGGAGGAGACCGAAACTTGCTTCTCCATTGTGGAATATCCGCGTCGAGGAAATGCATAAGAATAGGACCCTTTGCATATATGTGTATTTAAGCGCTCAAGAATTCAAAGTTATGGACTCACTAAAAAAAGGCTATAAGACAAAAGCATAATAATGTAAAATAGGGTTTTTTTTTTTCTTCTCATATTTAATAATTTTTAGTAATTAGGTTTCTTATTCTATTATTATTATTATTATTATTATTATTTAATTTGTAATGTTTAGAGAATTGAATTTTGGACTTCTTTATAAAGTTTTCCTTAGGTTTTTTTTGTTTCCCTATGTTGATAGGTTTTGTTATAGGATTAGGTTTCATTTTTAGTTTCCTAATGGTGTTTTGATTCCTTATTCTGTCCTGTCCTGTCCTTATGGGCCTGTTTGGAAGCCCATATCTGATATTGTTTTGATGTTTTGGTTTTGTAATTTGGGCCAATATCATGTTTGGAGTGGGCTGATGTGGTATTGAATAGTGTCAAAACATTACCAGATTTGGGCTAAAACCCATATCAACAATTTGGAGATATTAGCTGATTTATACACTGTAGTAGCGATATTAGACTTGTATTAAACACTGTAGCGCTGATATCAGGTATATAAACAAAAATTTCTCATTTTAGGGCATTTGTGCCTCTCGTTTCTCTCTCTTCTCCCGCATGTATGTGAGAGGCGATTTGGGGTGATTCACTTCAACCCTTGATATACAAACATTGTGCGAGCTGTTCTTCGAGATTTTGTAGATCCAACATCAGTTGTGGCTTTTGTACCTCTCTGTTGTCTGATTTCTCTCTATTTTTGCGCATCTCTCTGACGCGATTTTGGGGTTTCAACTTCAACCCTTCAATTCAGTTGTTGTGCGAGTTGTTCCTCGAGAGTTTTTAGCTGTAAAATCAGTTGTGGCTCTCGTACCTCTCTGTTGTCTCATTTCTCTCTGTTTTCACGCATCTATCTAATGCGATTTTGGGGTTTCAACTTCAACCCTTCAGTTCAGTCGTTGTGCGAGGTAGTTCGACTATTTTGTGCAAACAAGTCTTTGAAGTCGCTGCAGGTAACGCCACTACCAAACCCTAACCCTAATTAGAACTCTATTTATTTGCACAGAAGTGTGTATTGTCGATTCTTAGATCTATATGGGATTTTTTTTTTTTTAATTATGTTACTCGTATTTCATTTACAGAAGTGTATGCATTGTCGATTCTCAGAAAAATTAGTTTAATTAATTTTTGCTTTCAAAGATGTGAATATCAGAAATAAGAAAAAATTTTAAAGTACGATTGACAGTTTAATATATACACACTATCCGAACCTTTAATTTGAAGAGTTTGAACCTTTTTACATATATACGCATTGTTCGAACCTATTGTTTACATGGTTTGGCTTCAATTCATGACTTCCATTTGTTGGTACATAACATAAATTGGTTTAAATGGACGAAGAAGTACAAAAACCAAGAAACAAACTTCAATTCTCAAACCAACCAACCACTCATATTTCTTACTATTTTCTGTACTCTTTTATGTTCTTGCATATCTACTGCATTTATTTTTGGTAAAAAACATCTAAAGTCTTAAAATTAAGTTTATTTACTACAACTTTCTTCTTTTCTTGTCTTCTACATACCTATAGGAGAATAAAAATAATAATAACAAAATCTTTAAATAAGAAATCAAATTTAATAACAGATTTTAGAGTAGATTTAAAAACTCAATATGAATGGAATAAATGGAGTTCATACAATTTAAAGAGTTTGAACCTTTAATTTTACATACATACACACTGTCCGAACCTTAATTTTAAGAGTTTGAACCTTTAATTTTACATATATGCACACTGTCCAAACCTTTTTATATATGTACAGGAGAATTAATTATGCTGAATTATACTCTATGGCTGCAGTAGTATGCTGAATTTCTCTAATTTCATTTAATTTAAGACAATGTTATTATAATGTAATAGTGTACCAAAAATCTTTAATTTTGGAAGAAATTAGAATTATATAAACAATTTACTAAACTGTTAAATTTACTTAATAATAATCAGATGGACATGAACAATGACAATGTTAAGCAATACCCATCAAGACATATTCATTCTCTTGATGGTGAGAATGGTGACGATGTTGTAGTTATTGAACAGGCCGATACCACTGTTTGGTGTGATGCTCATCAAGAGAAATTCATGCTCTTGATGGAGGAAGAGGTTGGAAAAGGAAATCGTATAAGCACAAGTTTTAATCCAACTGGATGGACACATATTGTGGACGCAATGTTGGTAGAAACTGGGAAGAAGTGCACGAAGGACTAATGTAGACAAAAATTCAACACAATCAGAGCACTGTACAAATATTGCAAACAAAAAGTTAGTAATTCGTGATTTAGTATTAAAAGGGTTTGATGAAAATAATTGTAAGCTAATAACATGTAGGTTCTCAAGTATGACAAAAAAATAAAAAAACAGGGGTGTAAGAATTATGAGTAGATGGTAAGGATTTTTGGGGATACACATGCTATTGGTCAGCATGTTCATCCTTCTACAAAAACACCCAAACCTCACCAAGTGCCAACAATGTGTCAAGTGGCAACACATGAAGCTGCAATTCATAACATTGAGGGCAATGCGTACATGACTAATGTAGAATGACCTAATATAGAAGAGCTTATTGACCTCAGTCCTACTCCCAAACCTGTAGCTAAGAAACCTAAAAAAGAAAGTTTTTCCTCCACAATGTCTCAAGTAATGGCATGTTTGACTGATATCGGGAACGCGAAAGCTGATAAAATTGCCAAAGCCATAGCAAAATCATCTTCTAGTTGTCAACCATCTCGTGTTAAAGAAATGCCTGAAGTTGAATCTCCCAGTAAAAAAGAAAAAGAAAAAGAAAAAGAAAAAGAAATTGATCCCCAACTTGAGGAGTGCCTTAGGATCGTCAACACATTAGTGGGGATTGATGATACCCATTATGCTAAGATCATAAATATGTTTGGTGAGGACAAGGTGTGGAGGGACATATTTCTTCACATTCCTGATGAAAGGGAGGTTGGGTGGGTGACGAATTAGCCTCTGTGATATATTCGCTATCTTACTTTTATGTGCTTTTGGATGACTATTTTCTAACTCTTTTTACTTTATTGTTGGATGACTATATTTAATTTTCTTTATCTACTACTTTTACATTATTGTTGGATGACTGTATTTAATTTTCTTTATCTACTGCCTTTACGTTATTGCTGGATAATTGTATGATTTGGTATGTCTTTTATCCTTTTTTTATTATTGCAGAATAACTGTATTATTTGCTATATATTTGTCCATTTTCCTTATATCATTATGTTGTTTAATTTTTATTACAATAACTTCTTCTGTTTATTCTTAAATAGGATAATAGATATGGATATAAGGACAATATTAACCATGTATGATGATGATGAGGAGGAGGAAATTTTTGTATTGATCACAGCTGTATATGAGTACTATCATAAACATTTTGATAAGCAACGTTGTAAGGATTCCATGTTATAAGGGGAAGATTACGTATTCGAGATTTTAAATGGATATGAAGATAGGTGTTATGAAAATTTTCGGATGTACTCCAATACCTTTAGGGCTTTGTGTCGTGAGTTGAAATTGTTACGATTGAAAGATTCTACATTTGTAACAGTAGAAGAACAAGTTGCAATTTTCTTACTTACCGTGTCTCACAATGAAAGGAATCGTGTCGTTGCTGAAAGATTCCAACACTCTACATCCACAATTTCATATTACTTTCATGCTGTCTTAAAGTTAATTTGTGAGTTAGGGATTAAGATTATTGTTCCCCCGGATTTGAATGAAATTCCTAAACAGATAAAGAACAATAAAAAGTTTTACTCATACTTTAAGAATTGTGTAGGAGCCACAGATGGTACTCATATCCATGTTGTAGTGCCAGTTAACCAACAAATACCCTTTTGTGGTAGAAAGGGTGATACGACCCAAAATGTCATGGCTGTATGTTCTTTTGATATGAAATTCATATACATTCTAGTAGGGTGGGAAGGGTATGCTAATGATTCGAAAATTTTAAATGAGTGCACTCAGAATAAGGATTTGAATTTTCCATCACCACCCGAAGGTAAGAGAATTACCTTTCCATATTTATATTTAACATTAAAAATACGTTAATTTTAATACTTAACATGACAGGTAAGTATTATTTGGTGGATTTTGGGTATGCCAATAAATCGGGATTTTTGGCCCCTTTCTGGGGTCAACATTACCACATGCAGGAATATCGTAGACATACTAGAGGACTACGTGGTAGAGAAAAGGTGTACAATTTTAGGCATTTGTCATTGAGGAATATCATAAAGCGATGTTTTGGGTGGTAAAGATGAGATTCCCTATATTGAAGCAAATGCCCCCTTATCACTTTGACACTCAAGTTTTTATTGTCATTGCTTGTTGTACATTGCATAATTTCATAAGATCCCAAGGTGAATCTGATGAAATTTTTTATTCTGAAACCCCTGATCTTCTACTTCACAAAATGAACCTAATGTGGATGACATTGTTGGGATCGTCAGTGCTATTAATACACAGATGCGACAGATGGATATTTATCGTGATTGTATTGCGAACCTAATTTGGGAGCACTATAATCACTAATTATAATAGTGTGTAGGATTTTAACTTACATGCATAGAATATGGATAACTTTAATAACTAATTATAGTAAATAAACTTTATGGATAACTATAATAATTAATATTAGGACATCAAATATTAAATGCTTTAGTACTTGTAGGCGCACTTATGTATAGGCTTGAAGGTGAGTGACCACAATGTGCATGTGGTAGAGGTCCCATGCATCTCTATAGGGCTGGAACTCCAAAAAATTATGGTCGACAATTCTGTAAGTGTCCAGCTCGGGAGGTATGACTTTAATCTTTTAGGTGTTATTTCTGTTACTGTTTCCTAATTGTATAATTTATATTTGTTGTACTCACATATGAATGCATTTATATGGGTGGATGAGTTGCACCAAGGTGCACAAGTTGAAGAACAGGTTCAATCTGACTTGGACAAAGTCATTGTAATGATTCAAAATGAACAATGTAGACAGAAGTACATGCTCTTCCTAGGTTGTGGATGTCTTACTATCACAATCATGTTTATTATGATTGTCTTCTTCTTACTCATTATCATTGTTATTGAAAGATGAAGTTAGATAAACTTCTATCTTGTGTAATATATGACATGTAATAGGTATTTAGTTAATTTCCTGTGTTTCATTTGGTATGTAATATATACTTAATTTTCTGTATTTGGCTGAGCTTGCTGCTGAGAACTACAAATGCTATATTTTCAACTACGTATTACTTGTTGTTGTGTTCTCTTCTATGTCATTTTGGGAGTGAGCTTAAGGGCATTTATAAAATTTGCTACTGAGCCTGAAGAAATGTTCTTCATGTGTTTGGTTATGAATGAGGTCATTTACACTCAAATTTGCAACTTAGCCTGAAAAAATGTTAGCTATATCTTCCTTACTACTTCTTGCTTCATTCCTATCATGTGTTAATTTCTTTTTCTCTAATCTTCTTCATGTGTTTGGTTGTGCATGAGGTTATTTACACTCAAATTTGCAACTTAGCTTGAAAAAAGGTTAGCTATATCTTCCTTACTACTTCTTGCTTCATTCCTATCATGTGTTATTTTCTTTTTCTCTAATCTTCTTCATGTGTTTGGTTGTGCATGGGGTTATTCACACTCAAATTTGCAACTTAGCCTGAAAAAAAGTTAGCTATGTCTTCCTTACTACTTCTTGCTTCATTCCTACCATGTGTTATTTTCTTTTTCTCTAATCTTCTTCATTTTTTTGGTTTTACATGTATTTGGTTGCTGTTCTGTACTGTAACTTGGGATTGGATTGAGCTTGATGTCATTTACACTCAAAATTTACAACTGAGCCTGAAAAAAGGTAGCTGTATTGGATTGGCTTTGTTTTCCCCTCCAATTTGGTATTTACTCTAACTAACATCTATATACATACATTCCTAGTTGTTTTCATTGTCATATGTTTCATGCTAGTCAAGTTGGATAAAAGAATCTCGCCTGCCCATCTTTTTGTATAAGTGTTTGAATTGTTTGTATCAATCTGTTTCAGGATGAACTCAGGATTAACTCAGAGATGTTGTTTTGGTTCAATTTGGACAATTCTGGAACTTTGGCCAAGTATTGAATGTGTAACAAATATTGTCTTTAACAATTCTTTTATTCTTTTTAATTTACATTCTTCCCCTTATTTTCCTTCAAAACTTTCTTCCTAATTTAGCTGAATATCTAGGGAATAATGTGGATTTCATAATTCTTAGATAAGTTGGGATGATTAAAAAAAATCACAGATGAAATGTAATGGCTTCAGCTCGTGCTGATTTGAATATGGTCCCCTCTCATGATAGAGTTTGTGCATTGAATGAGGGTTTGATGTTCCTGCACTTTATTTATTTATTTTTTTTGGGTTGGAATAGGTTGATTTTGACCTCTTATTTTTTAAATCATAAGAATTAATTGATTACTTTGTGTTACTTTCTTTTGACAGAGTGGGTAGAAATGTAGCTACTGGGATTTCAACCAAACACAAAAGCTTTGAATTTTTTTTCCCTTCAAATGAGCTGTTGAAATTTTGTGTCAAACAATTCACTTTCTCAGTCTTTGCACTCAATGCATCATGTATATTTCTTTTCAATTGGGAAAAAACTGGAAGCGGCAATGGGTCTGCTATTTTGAAGGAATGGGACAAATATCTGCCTCTCTTTTGGCAGCTGGTTCCGCCTAATGAAGAAGACACCCCCGAGACTTGTACTGAGTTTGAGAAATTGTATAGTGATGATGTACAGAAATTGTAAATTGTAGGAAGTTATTTTCTTTGAAGACCTTGACAGAGCTACTAGTTGTGTATTACTATTTTGTTACTTATGAAATAACAGTTCCATTTTTGTCCATTGGTTTGATGTGTGTAAGAGTCATGCCCACTAATGCATTCAATTTGACAGCTTTCTATCCAATTGTATCTTGCCATGCAAATATGTGTTTTGCTTGTAGAGTTTGCTATAATGAAAATAAAGATGCTAATGGCATCTGCTAGATGTAGAAATAAGTTTTTCCCTTCTGAATGTTCCAAATTATCAAACCACAAAGATAAATGGAGTGCAAAGATCTCCTCTTATTGAAAGATTATTACAAAGTTAAAATTATAATTTGGTTGCCACTAATCATGTTTGTGCCTCAGAAAGATCCCACATGATCTTATTTATACTTGTAAATTTATTCAAAAAAAAATTTCCCAACTCTTAATGCATTAATTTTTTTTTTTTTTAACAAATTATCTCAAATCATAAAAAAATGGACAATTACATATACACTTATAATTGTATTAATATATATTTAATTATTAAAAACAAAAACAAAACAGTTTTTAGCAAACAGGTATCCTATTATTGATTCAGAATTTTTGATAACAAAAACAACTTCCCAAACGTGTTTTGTTTTCGGATTCTTTAAAACGCATGACATTACCAAACGCGTTTTCATATTTTTGATATACAATTATCAAAAACAAAACACCAAACATGGTTCCGATTTCTACTAAAAACACACCAATACCAAAATGGTTGTTTTCATATCATACCAAACCATAACATCTAGATGTTATCGCGATCCAAACGGGCCCTATGTTGTTAGGTTTCGTTATTATAAATACAGGTTTAGGTCATTCATATTTTATATTGCTCTATAGATTCAACGTAAGCTTTGGCTCTGAATATCTTATAAACTTTATAGGGTTAGGGATTTGGTTTTTGGCTTTGAGAGCAACCATGTCGACTTCAAAGAAGGTGGTGTTGAGAACCTTAGATGGCGAGACCTTCGAGGTGGAAGAGGCAATGGCGTTGGAGGTGCAGACTATTAAGCACTTGGTTAAAGACGATTATGCCGATTCCATCATTCCTCCGCCGAACGTATCTAACAAGATCTTGCCTATGATCATCGAGTACTGCAAGAAGCACATCGAGACCCCCAAGTCCGAAGACGATGCTCTCAAAACCTTTGACGTTGACTTTGTCAAAGACGTAGATCAGGCCACCCTTTTCGACCTCATCTTGGGTGCAAACTATTTGAATATTAAGAGCTTGTTAGATCTGACATGTCAAACAGTGGCGGATATGTTCAAAGGGAAGACTCTGGAGGAAATTCGCAAGACTTTTGCCTGGGATCATTCAGACATGGTAGGAATCAGTTCTTCAATCTCATGCCATAGCCTGAAGGTGGATCCGGCGTTCAAACCAGTTAAGCAAAGACACAGAAGGTTCACTCTCGAGCGCAATCAAATCATTGCTGAAGAAGTAAACAAACTGCTTTAAGCAGGCTTCATCCGAGAAGTGCACTATCCACAATGGCTCTTGAACGTGGTGATAGTTCAGAAGAAGAATGGAAAATAGAGAGTGTGCATAAATTTTACCAATCTCAACAAGGCTTGCCCCAAGGATAGCTTTCCAATACCCAAGATAGACTAGATGGTCGACGCTACCACTGGTTATGAGAGACTCACAGTCCTCGATGCGTATTCCGGGTATAACCAGATCCTTATGAATCCAGAGGATGAAGAGAAAACTGTCTTCATAACAGAGAAAGACACCGACTGTTACAGAGTCATGCCTTCGGACTCAAAAATGCTAGGGCGACTTACCAGCGTCTCGTTAACAAGATCTTCGACGATGTGTTGGGAAAGACAGTCGAAGCCTACATCAATAACATGGTGGTTAAAAGTGTGAAGAAGGAGGATCATCCCAGGCACCTCCAGGAAGTCTTTGACACTTTGAGAAAGTATAATATGAAGTTGAATCCTTTTAAGTGTTCCTTTGCAGTCTCTTCAGGGCAGTTCCTCGACCATATTGTCAATAAGAGAGGAATAGAGGTAAGCCCGGCCATAGTTGTTAAAGGCGCACGCCTGAGGCGCAGGGCGCCTCCAGGCGCCACCTTGGCGCCTTGATTGACTTAAGGCGAGTGGTTTGGGATAGGCGCGCGCCTCTTAGACAAAGGAGCAAGGCTACAGGCGAGATGCAGGCGCGCCTGTGTGAAAATTGGGTTTTTTTTAATTATCTTGGTTGTGTTACTTGTATCTGTTTATTATTTGTTTATTTGTTGTTTTTATTTGTTTATTACAAAATCTACACAACTTGCAAGTTAAAAAGCATAAAAAAAGAAAGAAAAAGAAAAGAAAAGAAAGGAATAAAAGAGCAAAAGGAAAGTGGAAAGAAGAGAGTTAAGACTGAAGAGACAGAGAAGAGAGAAGTACGAGTGATCTGCGTCGCGCCGAAGACTGGATCTGCCAGATCTGCATCTGCGCCGAAGCCTGGTAAGTTCTCCTTCCCTCTCTTCTTCTTCTTCTTCTTCTCTTCTCAGTTCTCGGCATTTTTTTTTTCTCTTCTCTTCTTCTTCTTTTCTTCAGTTTTTCTTCTTCTCTCGGCTCTAGTGACTTTAGTCACTCTCTTGCTCTTCTTTTTATTTTTTTATTTTATTCTGTTTTGAGCCGAGTCTAGGCTCTTCTTTTTTTATTTTTATTTTCTCTATTCTTCCTTGAGCCGAGTCTAGGCTCCTCTTTTTATTTTTTTCTTCTTTGAGCCGAGTCTAGGCTCATATTTTTTTTTTTTTTTTTTTTCTTTGAGCCGAGTCTAGGCTCTTCGTTTTTATTTATTTATTTTTCTCTATTATTCTCTCTTGGCTCTTTCTAGTCTCTTCTCTTCTCTTCTTTTTTATTTTTCCTCTATTCTTCTTCTCTCGGCTCTCTCTAATTTAACTTTCCTATTTCTAATTTTGTGGATTTAATAGGATATATTCCCAATGATATATGAGTGTAACTGATATTTTTAATTTGTTGATTTAATGGATTCTAGTAATCTAGTTCATTGATTCAACTTAATTGTGTCGCAATTTATTTTGCCTCATCTTTCTAATATGTCGATAATTAGTGAATAATGATACTTAGTGAGATAATGATGTGTTGGCAGTTGGCTTACTCACCTAAATTTTCAAAAAAAAAAAAAAAATCCGAATCTTTTTACTTCATACTTTATATAGAACAATCAATGTGTTTCTGCTTTGTGCATGAAATTTCTTTAGTTGAACACACTTGGATCATCACATCACCCATTCCTTGTAATCCCAATTGCACAGTCTCTCACACACACAACTGCAGGTCTTCATTGCATCATTAAATTAACCTTGTCACCAATATAAGATCAAGGTTGAAGGTGCATCAGTCTACACTTACCAAATTCGGTTTTTTCTGGTCTGTGCAAATACAAAACCACAGGAAAAGCAGAGTTACAAACTTACAAGAATATATATGGACGGGGGTAATGAAATTAACTAATATATATACATATTATTTTAATATTGGTTCGTAGACTTACATCTAACAAACATGAATATCAAGGTTTTGGCATCTTTATGTTGAATATTTAATTAAGTAATTTATTTAGTTGACTTTTGCATCTTTATATATACTATTGCATCTATAATACTTTATTGGGTAGGTTTTGTTTTTTTTTTTTTTTTTAACGTGCGCCTTGGTTCAGTCGGGCGCGCGCCTCGCCTTGCGCCTCAGGCTCCGGGAGGCATTTGCGCTTTTGTGCGCCTTGAGCCTTTAACAATTATGCCCGGCTCAGGCTCAGGCCCTTATATAAAATCAGGAACCAAAAACTCGCAGGGAAGTATAGGTTCTAGTCGAATTGCAGCTCTTAGCCGCTTCATCTCTCGGTTATTAGATAAGTGCAAACCATTTTTTGATGCAATAAGATCCAAAAATAAAGATATATGAGGACCTCAATAGCAAGTGGCTCTCAATCAATTGAAGTGCTACATGGCTGAACCTCCAATTCTGTCTGCTCCGAAGCCTGGTGAGACTCTCATCATGTATTTAGCAATCTCTGGCATAACCACAAGTGCCGTACTGATCAGAGAAGAAAGGAAGAATCAGTATCTAATCTTCTACACAAGTAAGAAGATGACAGATGCTGAGACACGGTACAGCAAAACAGAGAAGATCATACTAGCATTGGTGTATGCAAAGAGGAAGCTTCAGCATTATTTTAAGTCACATAGCATCGTAGTCCTAACCAACTACCCCATGCGAGTTATTCTTTCCAAGCCAGACTTGTCCGGAAGAATAACTAAGTGGGCAATCGAACTCAGTTCCTTCGATATATCTTATGAGCCAAAGGTGTCACACAAAGGACAGGCATTAGCTGACTTCCTCCTTGAGTATGAAGATAAACCCGAAGAGCCAGACCCTCCCGAACCACAATGGGAGCATTGGGTAGACGGTTCCTCAAACCTAGCTAGTGTCGGGGTTGGAATCGTTGTCACAACCCCTGAAGGCACCAAGTTGTAGTAGTCAATCCGTTTGACTTTCCTGCCACTAACTACGAAGCCGAGTATGAGGCCTTGCTCGCCGGGCTCCGATTAGCAAACTAACTCTAAGTAAGATGTCTAAAGGTTTTTAATGACTCCCAACTTATTATGAATCAGGTGACATGCAAATATCATCCCAAAGAAAAAAGAATGAAAGCATATAAGTAGGCTGTAGAAAGTGCTACACGTGGATTTGATCAAATCGAGTTTCACCAAGTACGTCATGATGAGAATTCTGAAGCAGATCAATTGGCCACAGTGACATCTTCTTCAGATGAAGACTTGGTCCGGATAGTGCCAATAGACATCCTGGACGAACCTAGTATAAGTCCTCGATGGGAAATAATGGTGATCCCGGACATTCCACGAGAACCATGCTGGATGGATCCACTAGAAGCTTACCTCAAGCATGAAACTCTTCCGAACCAGAAAGCCTTGGCAAGGAAACTCAAGTTCACCACAACCAAATACTCTATTATCAATAATCAGCTGTACCGGAAATCATTCTCAGGTCCTTACCTGAAGTGCTTAAGCCCCACTGAGGCCCTTGTAATATTAAAGTAGATTCATGACGGGAATTGTGGCAACCACTCCGGCGGCAGATCCCTGGCACATAAGGTCTTAACTGAAGGTTACTTCTGGCCATACCTGGCTCGAAATGCTGAAGAATATACCAGGAGATGTGACAAATGCCAGCAACATGGCTCAATGAAACATCAGCCTGTTGAGGATTTGTACACAATGGGGAATCCACGGCCATTTGCGTAATGGAGAATTGATATGGTCGACCCTTTACCCAAAACTGTGAAGCAAAAGGAATACGTGTTGCTAGCCACAGATTACTTCACAAAATGGGTAGAGGCAGAGGTTTATTCAAATGTAACCCATGAGCAAGTAAAGAGTTTTCTATGGAACAACATAATCTGCCGATTTGGAGTGCCAAAGGTTATCATGATGGATAACGGTCCGAACTTGGACAACAGAAGCACAAGAAAATTCTTTGCCGAGTATGGGATCAGGCAAAAGTTGACCACAGTTAGCCATCTGCAGGGGAATTGGCAGGCTGAAATAACTAACCATGAGGGTGAGCCTTGGCGCAACGGTAAGCACTGGGCTAGCCATTTTTTTTAGTGGTATCATCAAGTATCAGTTTGAAATATTTTGCATTTATTGTATAGTATCTTGTATAAAGAAACATAGAAGACTAGGCTATGTATATCAGTTTGTCAAGACATTGATTGCGTTGCCACTCAGAAAATAAAACTTGTATCATCAAAATTAATGAATATGTGAATCTGTTTATGGCATTACATTTTGGAAGAAAGAAAAAAAAAAATTTGTTACATGAAACATATAAAACATGATATGAATTTAGACACAATCAGAATCCATTTCTACAAAGAACTAAGAATCAGAATCAGAATCCACCGATGCTTGGATTTACTTTCCAATTTCCCCTACAGGAAATGGTAAGAGAGAATTCGTAAATGTAATACCGACATTTCTGGAACGCAATTCTTTTTTATTTCTCCTAATATCTTTGTTAAGCTTCAGATTATTTTAATACAAGAAACCAAGTTTGTACGGCAAGAAGTCAATCTATGTACGAAGTCAACAATAATCACTCATATGTTGCAGCATCATGGTTTCCCCTAATGTTTGACCCAATGGAGGGTTGTCTAGAAAGAAAATGTGAGATATGTTACAGGTTGGCTTGTTGGGAACATTCAATCCTATTTTAAATAGTCAGTAAGCTGGAAGAATAAGCAACTAAGAAATTGATTGTCTATGGAGTGAGAAGATAAACTATTCACTCGTTTCATGGTATCACCTAATATTTGACCTAATGGAGGGTTGTCTAGAAAGAAAATGTGAGATATGCTACAGGTTGGCTTGTTGGGAACATTCAATTCCATTGTTTAAAACTTATGTGTCAATGTTAACCAAA